CCAACCACCACACACACACAGGGATGTGATTTTGTGATTTATATTATTTGAAGTGAGATAAGGAGAGGAAAATAACGTTTAACTTATTCTGCACCCCCACCCAAATTTTTCCAAGCCAACCTTTTTTCCCATGCATCTCCTCTTTTTTGCCCATGGATTGGCTTAAATTTAAGTGATAAGTGAAGTTTTGGGTTTTCTGCTTTGGTAAAAGTTGATTCAAATTTTCTATTTTACTTTCCTTTGATATGGCTAGACCATTCTTGTTCAATAGACAATCATTTAACTGTACTCTCATCAGTGTGCTCTTAAAACCTGTATTTTCTTGGTAAGAGAGAATCGCACAAATCATGTATCTCAAAGAGGCAAATTACCTTCAGATTTCTTATGCCTCTTTTTGTAAATAAAATGCATGTGGTTCTTCCTTCTAATCACCAGGAAAACACAGCTTCATTTAAGTGACATGGAATAATTTTGAAAGCTGAAATTATAGCCAAAGAGGAGGGAGAGTATGGTCATGATAACCTGTAAAAAAAAGCGAGTTAAATCTTCATTGATTGTTGTTGTCCAATCAGCCAATTGTGATTTATGTTCAAAGGTCCAAAGCTATTTTTTGTTCAGAGGGCTACTTTAAATGCAAAAATCAGGACTAGCGGATGGAAGTAATTATCCTCTAAAAAGATTGTAACTCTTATTCAATTTTACTTGTCAAAATCAACACGTAGGTATAGTTATCAATTTATAATACCAAAAGCAACACAAAAGCTGTATCCTCGCAATCCTACAGCTTGTATAATTATTATAGTATATATTGTTATAAAATAAAAGCAATTTAGTAAAATATGAATAAGAAATGTTATTATGAAATAAAAGCAATTTAGAAAAACATGAACAAGAAATTGAGATAGAGAGAAGGAAGAGATTTTCTTCTTCAATTGTGTGTATTTTCTTATCTATTACAAGGCCTTTATATAGGCATGAAAAATGAAGAAAAATATGTCATTGAATATGTCATTAAACATTTGAGAAGATCATGGAGGAAGAGTAGACATCCACCATAATTTGATTTTTCTTATAACACTCCCCCTTGGATGTCCATAGATAATGTGCCTCGTTAAAACCTTATTAGGTAAAAAAATCCTGTGGGAAAAAAATTCTAGTGAAGGAAAAAGAGTACACATGTTTAGGAATACGCCTTTTGGTTGCCTCGTTAAAAACTTTGCAAGGAAAACCCAGTGGGACAAAACCTTGTAAGGAAAAAAGAGTACAACGCGTATTAATTCCCCCTGATGAGAGCATCAATTCACATCCTTGAGCCTTAGCATCCCAGTCTTGTACACTAGTTTCTTGAAGGTTGACGTCGGTAGAGATTTGGTGAACAAATCAGCCATATTATCACTTGAACGGATCTGTTGCACATTGATATCACCATTCTTTTGAAGATCATGTGTGAAAAATAACTTTGGTGAAATGTGCTTTGTCATATCCCCTTTTATGAATCTTCCCTTCAACTGGGTTATGCATGCTGCATTGTCTCCATACAAAATTGTGGGTAGTTTGTCACACTTCAAACCACATTTGTCTCGAATAAGGTGTATTATAGACCTCAACCATACACATTCTCGACTTGCTTCATGAATAACAATTATCGCAGCATGATTAAATGAAGTAGTCACGATTAATTGCTTAGTCAATCACCAAGATATGGCAGTGCCTCCATATATAAACACATAGCATGTTTGAGATCGAGCCTTGTGTGGGTCATATAAATACCCAGCATCGGCATAACCAACAAGATCGAGACTGCAATCATTGCCATAAAAATAATCTCATATCGGTAGTCCCTTTTAGATACCGCAATATGTGTTTGATTCCATTCCAATGTCTCCTTGTAGGAACAGAGCTATATCTTGTTGAGACATTAACTGAAAAAGTTATGTCAGACCTTGTAATGTTAGAAAGATACATTAGTGCACCAATTGCACTAGGATATGGTACTTCGGGACCAAGAAGCTCTTCATTATTTTCATGAGGTCGGAATGGATGTGCTTTATCCATATAAAATCGCTTTAAAATCATGTTAGTGTATGCTGATTGATGGACAAAAATTCCATCTTTCATATACTCAATTTATAGACCAAGACAAAATTTTGTCTTTCCAAGATCTTTCATTTTAAATTCTTTCTTTAAATAATCTAATGCTTTAGGAAGCTCTACTGCTTTAGGAAGCTCCCTAGGAGTTCCAATGATATTTAAATCATCAACATACACGGTGATTATAACAAATTTAGATCCAGATCTTTTTATAAAGACACAAGGACAAATTGAATCATTCTTGTACCCTTCTTTCAACAGGTACTCACTTAGGCGATTATACCACATGCGCCCTGATTGTTTCAATCCGTATAAGGATTTTTGAAACTTTATTTAATAAATTTCTTGGAAACCTTAATATGCTTCAGAACAATTTAAATCCTTCAATAATTTTCATTATACGCATATCACGTTTTTCTTCTATTGCCAGATTAAAACCTGAAATGGCGACATCCACCACAGGAGAACATGTCTCTATATAATCAATGCCAGGATATTTACAAATCTTCTTGTGATACAAGTCGTCTTTATGTCTATCGACTTGACCTTTTTATTTTTTGCACAAGAACATATTTATACCTCCACTGGTTTTATACTTTCAGGTGTTGGGACGATCCGTCCAACTTCAAATTTTTCAGGTGAAATCAATTTTTATTGTGTATTTTTCATTTGGCCAATCATTTATCAGTCCAAATTTTATGATAGACTTGAGCTCAAGATCTTCGTCAATATTAATAATATTGAGCGTTACATTATATTAACAATATCGTCGACGATCATTTTATATCGGTTCTACTATTACCCAATAAAGACATAACTTATTGAGATCTCTTTATCTTATTATTTTCAGGTACCTGA